TTTTAAGCCACCGGGTCCAGGACGCGAACCGCGGTCAACTACATGGGAGACCAGCGACATAGCCATTATGCTAACTGCTGGTCCCAATATGTACATATTTTTAACATGATGAAACTCATTATTATGGGAGTTGTGCCCCATTTTTTGCCTGTGCATCATATGATGAGTATGCCCCTCGTGTGTGAAACTCCTTGTGCACGTGATCTTGAGTGGCTCTCTGGGAGCCTTCTGTGCCTGCACTTGTCGCCGGCATGGGGGCCGCATGTTCCTGTCACTCTGGAGGTGATACTTTCAGAACGTCTTTGTGCAGAGGTCTTTGTGTTTGTGAGTTTGCTTAGAGTAGATTCTTGGAAATACTGGGCAGGGATTATGGGCGTTTTCATGTTCTGGACACGTATTACTCATAGTCCTGTTTAAATATGAAAGTTCTCATATCTATTTTGCTAGAAAATGTGTGAGAAAAGGCTGCCAGGTAAAACTCTGACTGTCCCCGACACCTGCCCACACTGGCAGGTAAGTACGTGAGCCTCTGCACCCAGGCCACGTGTGCATTTGCTCCAGTGCGCTTCTAGTTCTTTCGAGTGAGATCAGGCTGGATGCAGGGCACAGGAGCTGGGCACCGGCCCCTGACTCCCTGCGCTCACCGCCACACACTCATCTCTGCATCTGCAAAACAAGGTTGGTAACAGCTCCACCCTGAAGGGCTGCTGCGGGAGCGTGACAGATTATCCACGTAAAATGTTTACAGTCTTTTTCTTTAAAAATGAAATAAAAATATGCAAGCAATCTGTTCTCCACGTGGCAAGTGTTTTTTGCTTAATATAAATCAGATCATGTTAGCCACCATGCTCAAACCTTCACCGGCATCCCCCCCACCCCGGGACTTCTGGGGGCTCCTGGATTACATAGAACTTCCTCGCATGGCCCAGCCCTGTGGCCTCTCGCAGTCTGCTCTCACTCCCCTGGGCTCTCTGTGCTGACCCCGACCCCTAGCCTGGCCATGCTGCAGTGCTGCCCAGGACCCCTTCCTGCCCCTCTGGCCCACCGCCTCCAGACCTCAGGACACCAGCAGCTGCTCCGAGACCCCGACCTCAGCCGAGCCCTCCTTGCATCTCATAGCCCCCGTTGCGCCAAAGGCAGGGCCCTCTCCGATTGTGGCCTGTTCTGCCAGAGGGGACATGGAAGGAAGGAACAGAAACCCAGGAAACACGCTTAATGTCAATACAAGGAAATAAAAGTTACTCCTGATTCTCACATCAAGGACTGGTTGCTATTCTGCGTATGTACTTTTTTTTTTTTTTTGGAAAGGTTTTTGCTATAGGGCGCATGCGCTCGCCAGACAGAGAGAGACAGAGAGACAGAAAGTGAGAAATCACCCCCCAGGGAGGATGGCCACGCCGAAATCCCTTCTCCTCCACTCTCCTCTTGGGATCTTGGGCACGCACGCACATGTGTCCGGCGTGAGTTTTAAGCCACCGGGTCCAGGACGCGAACCGCGGTCAACTACATGGGAGACCAGCGACATAGCCATTATGCTAACTGCTGGTCCCAATATGTACATATTTTTAACATGATGAAACTCATTATTATGGGAGTTGTGCCCCATTTTTTGCCTGTGCATCATATGATGAGTATGCCCCTCGTGTGTGAAACTCCTTGTGCACGTGATCTTGAGTGGCTCTCTGGGAGCCTTCTGTGCCTGCACTTGTCGCCGGCATGGGGGCCGCATGTTCCTGTCACTCTGGAGGTGATACTTTCAGAACGTCTTTGTGCAGAGGTCTTTGTGTTTGTGAGTTTGCTTAGAGTAGATTCTTGGAAATACTGGGCAGGGATTATGGGCGTTTTCATGTTCTGGACACGTATTACTCATAGTCCTGTTTAAATATGAAAGTTCTCATATCTATTTTGCTAGAAAATGTGTGAGAAAAGGCTGCCAGGTAAAACTCTGACTGTCCCCGACACCTGCCCACACTGGCAGGTAAGTACGTGAGCCTCTGCACCCAGGCCACGTGTGCATTTGCTCCAGTGCGCTTCTAGTTCTTTCGAGTGAGATCAGGCTGGATGCAGGGCACAGGAGCTGGGCACCGGCCCCTGACTCCCTGCGCTCACCGCCACACACTCATCTCTGCATCTGCAAAACAAGGTTGGTAACAGCTCCACCCTGAAGGGCTGCTGCGGGAGCGTGACAGATTATCCACGTAAAATGTTTACAGTCTTTTTCTTTAAAAATGAAATAAAAATATGCAAGCAATCTGTTCTCCACGTGGCAAGTGTTTTTTGCTTAATATAAATCAGATCATGTTAGCCACCATGCTCAAACCTTCACCGGCATCCCCCCCACCCCGGGACTTCTGGGGGCTCCTGGATTACATAGAACTTCCTCGCATGGCCCAGCCCTGTGGCCTCTCGCAGTCTGCTCTCACTCCCCTGGGCTCTCTGTGCTGACCCCGACCCCCAGCCTGGCCATGCTGCAGTGCTGCCCAGGACCCCTTCCTGCCCCTCTGGCCCACCGCCTCCAGACCTCAGGACACCAGCAGCTGCTCCGAGACCCCGACCTCAGCCGAGCCCTCCTTGCATCTCATAGCCCCCGTTGCGCCAAAGGCAGGGCCCTCTCCGATTGTGGCCTGTTCTGCCAGAGGGGACATGGAAGGAAGGAACAGAAACCCAGGAAACACGCTTAATGTCAATACAAGGAAATAAAAGTTACTCCTGATTCTCACATCAAGGACTGGTTGCCCACGTTCTACTTCGTTGTGTGTTCTTCCAAACCCTTATACATGCATGCTTCCTTTAAAACAAAACAAAACAAACCAAAACCCAAACCCAAACCAAAAAGCTTTGTTGAGGTATAACTGATATACAGAGAACTGCACATACTCAATGTACACAACTGGATGAGTCCAGATATGTTATTTATATTATATCTATTTTATTTTATGTAATTAATGACTTTTTGTCTGTGTCGTCATTTATTAACATATTGATAACATAATGCCAGTGAAAGTTCTGCTCTGTAAAGTTAACTGATACCAAGTCACTGGGCCAGCCCGATAGCCCACTAGTTAAGGGAACTGGATCTCACATGACCAGGTGCAGTTCAAATCCAGGCCCCCGTGGCTTGAAGAATATGCTGGACGTGTGTGTGTGTGTGTGTGTGTGTGTGCGTGTGTGTGTGTGTGTGTGTGCGAGCCCAAATTCCTGATGAGAAGGAGGACTGGAGGGAAGAGAGTGTGGATGGCCACACCCCCGGGGGCGCTTTCATTCTTCCTGTGAGCACACTCCCTCTGGCGATTAAAAAAAAATGAACAAAAAGCCACCAACTATTCTCTGTTATAATATAGATGTTCATTTTTCAGTTGTTTTACAAATTTTGCTACGGTGAACATCTTGGTTCCTGCTTTATTGCATCACTCTATGATTTAGTTTCTTAAGTATAAAATTTTATGAATGGAATTATTGGGTCAAAGAATATGTGTTTATGGACTCCCATGTAGTCGACCGTGGTTCGCGTCCTGGACCCGATGGCTTAAAACTCACGCCGGGCGCGTGTGCGTGTGTGCCCATGATCCCGAGAGGAGAATGGAGGAGAAGGGATTATAGCGTGACCATCCCCCCTGGGGGGTGATTTCTCGCTTTCTGTCTCTCTGTCTCTCTGTCTGGCGAGTGCACGCGCCCTATAGTGAAAACCTCTCCAAAAAAAAAAAAAAGAATATGAGTTTAAATTTCCTTCATTACTTATTTTTTTAAAAGGATGCGTGTATAACACTGTAAAGTGCAAACGATGCAAAAGAAAATACAGAAAAAAGGAAGACTTCCTTCGGCCCTGCCCCCGAGCCCCCTGCTTCTCCCGCGTTGCAGTCTTCCATCCTCGAGGCTGTCAATTTTCCAGTGTCTAATCTGTAACTGTGCACGACCAATACCTTCCGGACGCCGTCTGTGAACTCACTCCCACCGTTCTGAAGCCCTGGCCAAGGCTGCCACGCGTGTGCCTTCTCATTTCTGCCATTCCAATCAGCAAAAACACTGTCTTGCTATTCTTTTACTTTCCATGATTTAATTTCTAGGTGATGGAGCGATTTCATGCTTAATGGACGCTACGCATCACCCCGTCGTCAGGGGCTGTTAGAGGGCACACTCACTTGCTCGGGTCTCAGAGCTACAGGCCAGTCGGGGCAGAGCTGGAGGTCAAGGGCAAAGCCGTCTGCCCGTGTCCCGAGACTCCCATGAGCAAGCTTATCTCTGTGCTTTCTCTGTCCCAATCAGGCGAGTAAAGTATCCCCCTGCGTGGACCCTAAGACACCTCTCCTCCTGGCTTGGGATTCGGTAAGTGACACCCACCCTCTGTCTGTGGGTGCGTTTGTGTGCGGCCTGAGGGTGCTGCCCGGCCGGGTTACAGACGTGCAGCGTAACCACTGTGCTTGCCTTCTGTGCTAGGTGGAAGAAACCGTGCATGACGCAATCCTTAGGAATCTACAAGCGTTTTATCGCATGTTGCAGTCCTATGACCTTGGAGACACGGGGCTCATTGGTCGGAAAAGCTTCAAGAAAATCATGCTCACGTTCTGCCCATCTCTGACAAACGAGCACATCATAAAGTGAGTTGCGGCCACTACATTCACGCCATGGCCTCTGTTATTTCACTGTGGATTTTTGCAGTATTGGGCAGTCATATTAAGAACAGTCTTGGTAATTACAGACTTACTGAGCCGTAGGTGTGGGCCAAGAGCTGGGCATGTGTTACTGACCCCGTCCCTAGTCCTTGCACAGCCGTGCACAGAGCTGGTGTCACCGCTGCTTAGGGATGAGAAGTGGAGACCTGAGACGGCTAGCTCCCATTCCAAGCCCACGGGGCAGGAGTGGGCCCAGGCTCCATCCCACGTCTCTCGGACTCCGAGCTGGTGCCTGTGTCCTAGTGCTCCGGGGGCAACATTGCCACCTGTACTCCTGCCGCATTGGGACAGCCCCTTGGCTCCAGGTGTGCAGTTAAGGATGTTACTTTCTACTGATAAGAGCGTTATTTCAAGGGTCCCACATGGTAGAGCCAGTAGGTGGCATGGAGGGTAAGGCATTGGACCCCACAAGACCTGCTGTGTGCTTTGAGTCCTAGACCTGACAGCTTGAAAATCACATGCCCAAAATCCTGAGAGGAGACTGAAGGAGAAGCGATGCTGCATGGCTGTTCTCCCCACCCCGGGCGGAGGGTGAATTCCTACTTTCTCTCTCTCTGTCTCTTTTTCTATCTTTGGGAGTGCACATGCCCTGAATAAATACATAAATAAATAAAATCACAAGATTTCCATGTGATTTTGGGACCAGCAGTTAGCGTAATGGCTATGTCACTGGACTCCCACGTAGTTGACCGTGGTTTGAGTCCCGGACCCGGTGGCTTACACTCACACCGGGCGCGTGTGCGTGCGTGCCCAAGATCCCGAGAGGAGAATGGAGGAGAAGGGACTGCGGCGTGGCCATCCCCTCTGGGGAGTGATTTCTCGCTTTCTATCTCTCTGTCTCTCTCTGTCTGTCTGGCAAGCACATGTGCCCTATAGCAAAAAAAAACCTCTCCAAAAAAAAAAAAAAAAAGATTTCCATGTGATTTTAAAACGTAGACCATTGGTAATTGAATAGTTTAATTATAGTCGATCAACAACTATTAATGATTACACACAATTAGATTGTCAGTTTTACAGGGGCAGACCAGTCATGGTTAAGACTAAGAGGCCGGCAGGTGGTATAGTGGTTACGGTGCTGGACTCCTGCAGAGCTGACTGTGGTTCGAGTCCTGGACCTGGCAGCTTGAAAATCACATAGGGTGCATGTGTGCCCAAAATCCCAGGAGGAGAATGGAGGAGAAGGGAGCACAACATAGCCATCCCCTCAGGGGCTGATTTCTCACTTTTCCTCTCACTATGTCTCTCTGTCTCTCTCTGGTAAGTGCATGTCCCCTTGGCAAAAACCTTAAAAAGGGGGGTGGGGCAAAGTTCTAAACTCTTTACTTCTGGGCCAGGAATGAGATGTGCGGGCCACTGCTGGTAAGGCTGACTGCTCCGATCCCCGCCCCACAGTGGCCCACGGGTCGGAGGAGGGGCTGTGCGCTCCGTTCTGGCGCCGTACCTCCTGGTGTCTGGTGTGGTTGGCCTTCCTGTGAACGGCCCCTCAGATTATATTTTTGTGTCACCCGAGTTAAACCTTAATTTGTGGTGGATGAGCCAAAGCTGAGAAGGAACAGACATGTAACGGCTGACGTGAGGGTTCTGAGAAAAGATGAGAACAGCCTCTTTCAGGCCCTCGGGGTCTCCCCTCTTGGTTCTCTCTCACCCTCCCCAGCCCTCTGGGGCTTGCCTCTGTGCTGATGACCCCCAGAACCTACTGCTGGGACTCCGTGGACCTGCAGGGACAGTGCTTTCCTTATCACCACAAGCGTCCCGCTGTCGCTTTGGGCCTGCTCCTACAGCGCATGGAGGCGGACACCTTCGAAGTGGCTTGGCCCGGTGTTTCTCGAGTGTGGGCAGAGAGCGGGGATTGAGGTGGGGGATCCAGTGAAACCACAGAGAAGAAAAACTCATCCTCTCTCAGACCCCCTTGAAATGGTGGAAATCTCATCTGCAGATTTTGTTTACTCATATTGATTTAGAGTAATACCAAATGCAAGCTGGTCTGCTGTAGTTATTGGCCATTTGTGTCTCCTTCCTGTGAGCATTTTAGGTTCACAACTCATTTTTTTGATGGTCGGTTTTTGTAGGGA